CAATGTTGACACAAAATACGGATCAGTAATGAATGGAAAATTTGCAATTAGGTTAGTATTAGCTTCTTTCAGTGGTTCATTTCTTAAATTTACCAGAAGTCAGTTAAGATTTGTCTGCCAATGCATGAGCAATATTCGACAACCATCTACATGTATTTCACTTGCTTCCACAATATAAGGTCAATTTTCTCATTAATGTGTTAATGTGCACGTGTGTTGGATGAACAAAATAACATCTGCAATATATGCTGTATTAGCACCTATGGCGAGGAAGTGATCCGAAAATCAGTCGCTATCAACAAAATTTCGTCTTCCAAAAATGTGTACGCTCCAGCGAGTGTTATTTGTATGTGCCACTATACTCTATGAAAATCTTTTTTAGCTTTTTGCATAACAAGTAGTTGATATTTTCTAAGGTCTTGATGTGGCCTTGTTTGGACTTATCGTATTTATTGCGTACCTATGCTTAAATCGAATGATTTCACTTTATTATATTTTATATGTGTTGCGTACGTAAACTTTTGTTAAAAAATGAATGGGTCGTCTGAATTTGCGCGCCACTGGATGCTTGTTTGTGACGTAAGTTTGTTGTGGCAAAAAGCGCGGGATTTCAGATGAAACGTTGTAATAGTCTAATGCAATCTCCAGTTTTCCGACTTAGTCCATGTATTAAACGTTTTGCGACTTTTCCAAATGAAGCAGCGACCGTCCATTAAGTTTTCATAAAACAAAAAAAAATCAACTGCATATACACTTTCCGTATATTGCAGACTGTTTACGGCAACCAGACACTGGGTGAAGCTTGAATAGACAGGTGGTTCAAGCTTCACCCAATTTTTGGAAGACGGACAGGAGTCCGTCTTCCAAACTTTTGGACAAAATAATCCTCTTTCTGAAGGCCTGTGATAGCGATTATAGACGACAACGTAAAAAGGATGATACAACTCGTGTTTACCAACCATAAAAAAAAATTGGCAAAAGTGACAGAGATCTCAATCGGGTCATGTCAGGCCATTTTTACCAATCTTTTAGGCGTCAGAAGGCTCATGGGAAAGTTTGTGCCGAAAGAGTTGAATATCTAGCAGATGACCACACGCGAAGCAGTGTGGAACATTTTTTGAAGAACTAAACTTCCCTGAACACGTTCGTACAGAAACTAAACGTGAGTGTAAGGCACGACAAGAAGACTAAAACGTAGTCTTGTGAATATCGGTTTACAAATGAAGAAAATCGTACGCTCCAAGTTCAAAATCAAAATGCTCTTCCGGTTTTCCTGAACCTTCGAGGAATAGTTCATTATAAGTTCATTTTGTTCAACTTTACGCTCAAAGGAATACTACGGAGACGCTACGGAGAAGAAAATTGCGCGGGTCTATCCGACGTAAGAGTCTATAATTGTCGTGCAACAAGTGTTGGGGTCTCCATCACAACAATACACTGACCCATACTCTACTATTCGAACAGAAGTTTTTGCAGACAAGCTCTGCGTGTGTGTTCCTACAACTCCCGGATTTGGCCCCCAAGATATTTTTCTGTTCTCAAAACTAAAGAAACCTCTGAAGGAGAAGCGTTTTAATACGATAGGAAAGAAAAAAAAAACTGCTGACCGAGCCAAAAGCTATCTCGACGATCGAATTTAAAAAGTGCTTTGCGGATTAAAAAACACGGCATGCGACAGGTAGTATTTCGAAGAGGATAACTTAAAGTGGGACGATTAAATACCTATCTGTCTAAAACAAACGACTCATTCATTTTTGAACAAAGGATTATAAATACACAATAAATCAATTAATCCATATATTTGGAGGATGTGTATAAACAGACTAATAACAGTAATCATAACTTTCTTCACGTTTTATACTTAAACCAGCGTGCTACGTTATATCTATTTAACGTTATTGTAAAAATAAAAATAATACACTGAAAAGAAAAATATTAGATTTTGGTTCAGTAAAAATATACAAAGATGATGGCATCAAATGAAATCACGTTAGTGAAAGCAGATTCTAAGCAGAAGTTTGATCAGAATTATGATAAGGCGACATCCATGCTAGGAACCATCATGCTGTACTCCGTTAGAAGCAGCATGCTAAAACTCGTAGATTTACAAGAAACCACTCTTGAGTTCTTTTTAAATAAGTATAGCATGTATAAAGTGGATGAGAAAAAGAAGCCATACAGTCTATTTTGTGACCTTCTAATGATATTACTTCTAATTGTGACGGCCCAAAATAATAATGAAAATAAGTTTCGTCATTATGAAAGGTTTTATCGGCATGGTTTTCCTCTTTTGTTTTGAGTCTCCGATAAAAACACACCAACGATTTTAATACATTTTTCTTGTCGCCCGCTTCGCTCTAAGCACGTGCGATGAAAACCGCGTTTCTCAAAGGTATTTCATTCAAAAGTCATTCATCAGCGGTAACTAAATATTTGAATGTTTTCGGAAAACAGTAAAGCAGCATACTGTATGCCAATGTTCAGGATAAATATCAGGAAATATTTGGACTCTAGCGCGGGTGCTATTTGTAAATTTTACGCTCAGATGTATATAGGTGTCAAAATATATATTACTACCAAGTTTGAAGTTTATCACCTGCCATAAAAACCCGATGATTGTTAGTTCGTTCATCTGATAAATTATTTTTTATTAATTTCGTAATACACAATAATGTATAATATAATGTTTTCTTATAAGTTATTTATTTAAGAGCTAGAATAATAAACTTAATTTGAAACAGTAATTTGTATAAAACATACAGCACTCAATGTAATGCCAGTAAGCTAAAAGAAGGACAGCATTTCGCGCGATGTTGCGTTCGGGACCCGCCGAATTGTTGATAAAACCAGTTGACTTCATGAACACGTCAGCAGCGTCCCATCGAATTTACTAATGAGCGTAAGGTGGTCTACATTTGCAACCGGCGCACATATGTTTCGTCATGTACTGAGAGTTAGCCGTTTGAAGCAATGCTTACGTACGTAGAACCAGAAGCGTTTATTTAAATGAGCTTGACAAGACACTGACCTTAAAAATATGGAAATTTTCGTATTTCTACTACCGTAATTATTAGAGAATCCTTCTATTTATTTTCCTCAATACGACGAAGCAGATTCTGTAAGTAATATACCACAAGTCAATTGTATGCCATATCTGATATGCCTGCAAAGTCATGATTAAAGATGATTATGTGCGGTGCTATATGCGCTACTATAGATCACGGCTTCATGTGCAGCCATGATCATTTTTCCTTTATTTTTAGTAGGAAAAGTTATTATATGGATCTCAGTCAAAAGACAAGAAACACACGTCATCTAGGTCACGTGTCTGCCGCGTTTTAGTTTTCAACACACTAACGATAATACATAAGTTCCGTATATAATTTCAGATTATGATTATTTCAGATCTGTATCACTCTATATATAGAACTGTTTACTTGAATATAGTTCTTGTACAGCGCAAAAACCTGTTCAATAGTGAGCGGACCAAATTCTGTGAGACCAAAACTACAGACAGAAGCTCGTTCCTGCTTTTTATTCCGAAGACATAGAAATAGGCAACAAGCTTGATATATCCTTTACTACGTACGAACGGAGAAATTAACGACCAGTGGGCATCTTTCTCTCGCAATATTATGCGGGAAAGCTTCCACTATCCTTCTTATGAGAAATAAAGCACACGTGTGGCGAAATTATCCATTGGTGCGAGGTCAAATAAGAAATGTGCTGAAGAACATCGCATTCGAAACTGCGCGGCGATTTTAAGGATTTTTGTTGTATGTGTCCTAACGTTATCGAAAACCAGAATGATTAGTTTTTTTTCGTTTAGCTTCGTTGATGAATAGCCTCCTTAATCTAATGCGACTATCTATATGCATCGCGTTCGTCAAGCATTTCAAAATGTGTCAGACGTTCACGAGTGGAAATCCTGCTGAGGCGTGAGCTAAGGTCTGGCACGCCTTTTTATTTTTTATGTTGATATTGAAAGGCCTTTCCTCGTTTGCCACGATTATTCTGCTAAAGAGATTATTGCTCGATCCTAGAGAAGGTGATAGGTAGAAAAGATAAGTTAACTTGTCTTACTTAGCTGAAACACGACTTGAGGAATCCAAACGCCAATGTCGGAACAAAAATGGATTACATTCGATCTTCATGGCTAATTGCCTGTTTGGCTAACGTCTGTCTCCCTCCAAAAGTGTTTTCAAATATTCGTTGCCAAAGCTAAACAATCTACCACCGCGCAGACATAATATTGTTTCTGAGCATAATAAACCACTTTCGAATTGTTTGTTCAACTATTACGTTTTCTCTGCACAGAACACCGGCAGCTTAATCTACTTTTTGATCTCTGAGGAGAGCATTACAAATAAAGTGACAAAATACGCTTTTTTGCCGTCTAATACGTTCATGCTTCACAGCTTTGCAAGACGCATGACTTACTTTGTAGAAGAAACAGATATGCTACGCAGAAAACACGTTGAGATGACAAATCGGCCCATCTGATAAGCAGCGATTATGCGAAAGGGAAGAAAGCACAAGCGACACAATTTTTTTTCCTAACCTAACCTAACCTAATATGATATTATTATTATTATGATCATCCTGTCGCATTATTTTAATTGTACGTCAGTTAACTTCAAAAATGGCAATTTTTTCTTAGGGTATTTGAACATCGAGATAAGAAATCGTTGGGAGAATTCTGGTTATGTCATTTCTGTTTAGATTTCTCGATAATGACCTTGATAATTTATTTTTTCGACTATGACGATTGTTAATATCACACGACCAGCAATACAAGCTAGCGGACTAAACTTTGACATGAACTTTTTATCATATCAAACAAACTATAATAAAAAACGCAATAATAATAATAATAATAATAGCAGCACTGAATGAAAAAATGATATCATCCTTCTTACATCAGCCAATGACAAACAGGAACATAATAGACAAAACCAAAAGTGCTTTCGCTAACCTCGCTTCTGCTACGCACTCGTTAGCACTGCCGTCATGCGCCCATCAAGTCATCACTCGCTCAACGAACCGCTCCAACGGAATCACCATTGAAAATGGAGAAGTAAAGGCACAGAAGATCAAGAGAAAGGGAAACACTACTACAAAGTGATGTGGGAAACGGCTATCATACCGTAGTAATGTATGAAATGATGATAATAATAACAATAATCATTGTAATCATCGCGACCATCATCATCATCACCGTACAAACAAGCCATTACGGCACGTATAATTTTTTATTCTCCACACTGTAATTATCATGTTATATCGCATGTAATGCTGGATAATGTTGGATGATTTTATAACGGCAACGTAGGTAGAGATTATCTATTTGTTTGGCACCTACGAATAATTAATTCATTTTGGCTAGAGGATCATATTTATTGATATGCTATAGTGAAGCTAAAAGTGATTCACTTCCTTAAGATAAAATACGCCGAATATTATAAGTCCCACTTAAGTTAGGACAGGAACTAAACATTCTCAATGAGCCTCTGGCGAAGTTGGTATTATGACGTCGAAATTTTTGTCAACGGATTTTGTCAGCTGTACAGATCGAAAAAACTGCTCGCTCCGAGATAAGCATACTGAAGGTTGATGCTTTTTGAACATTTTAAATTAATTTTAAAAAAATTACCCCACATTCAATAAATCCTACTTTTATGTACCCGTATGCTAAATGTCAAGGCTACTATAACCGAGCAGACTAGCCAGTCTAAACAATGACACTCAGCTAATTTCTTTTTTAGTAATTGATGTTCTCACCAGGACAGATATTTTGGTTTAATTATCATATGTTCCATTACTTCAAGTTTCATATAGAAAGCTTAATTAGAATAATATGTTGGGTGACTTGCTGACTGCAGATGCAGTGGACCATAATCGGATGGTTTGAAAAGAGCCTTCTAGGTTAGCGCAGCGGTGTTGCGTTGCATCTAAAAATCTCAGAACTTTCGTACTGCCTACAAGAATTCAATAAACAAAATGGGGCTTGATTCTGATCACGACACATCTTTGCTTTTATTGGCCTTAGGATGAAACGAAAAACGCAAGTGGCAAAAATCAATCAGGCTGCATATTCTTTTACTTGAAGGTCCAAAAACTTTCTACTTGTTTCTCTAGTTGTGATTGAATGTCTCCTCCTTCGAGATAATATAATTCTATTTTGCCGTCCTATACACAACCGCAGAGACAGCCACATTGCAATATCACCATCGCGCCATTGTTGTGGCTAATACCACGCTTTCTAACGTTCTTAGGAGTCTTCGAACGTACAAAAACAATACACCTTGGAAAACCTCAAACTTTAGAGCCTTCGACGAAATGGGAACTATTTTATGTATAATATTGAAATAAATGATACGCAAAAAAGGAAAATGAACCTTTTCTTCTATATTTCAGGACGCCAGCTTGAACGGGAGTGTAATAACAGCGCCGCAAAGCTCAGCGTTTCAAGTCGCATTTTGGTAGTCCCTACAATAACTCTACCATAAGATTTGAGAAAAAAAATGGGTGCTAACTGCTGATGATCTAAACAATGTATGGCGTCCATGTAATTAAAACAAGATTGACCAGCTAACTGGAAGTTTACGTGAAGCCTAATTGCAGCTCGAAATATACTACAGTTCGACTAAGAACCTATCTATTTAGCAACTTCCATACTGCGCTAATAAACTAGGTTGCATTAACCGGCCAGGTTTTTAGCTTTTGTCAGCCAAGGGGCATCGCTAGCGTGAGGCTGATAGAACAATAGACATTTGTGATTGATATGCGTTCAAACAATAACGCAGAGACAAAATGGGTGTTCAGCATCTATTAAACGCATAAGTACACTATTGACTTGGTAAAAAAAATTAGCGTATGGTATTGAGAATCCGAATATCCTGTTTTCAGTTACACAGATACATTTCCGTTAATAAAAAGGATTGCTTTTTTCTCCAAAAGGATATAGAAGAATGAGAGCAAAAAACTATTTCCATTTTTATAATGTGTATTCCAAGGCATTTTTTTTTGATTCAATGGTGTATTGACTTATTTTAAACAGTAAAAGCCAATTTCATAGTGTTACTTATAAACATCAGACAAGATGGTGGTTTGTGTGATCAAGGTGGTTGTTTGAGCTATTCCGTGAAAAAAGAATGGGAGTGGTTCTCCGGCAGGTTTCGGGCTTTACTAGGGCTTCAGTGTATAGCATCGCGTCTTCATATTGGTGAATAGATGGGTTGGGCGAAGGAGAAGAACTTTAAGTCAAAATGCTTATTACCGATTCGCCTAATAAGTAGTACAAAGGCTGATTGATTGTTCTCTAGAGGCAGCTGTAAGAACCCTCAGAAACTTTGTGACCAGCCATCAACACTCCGCGACCACTAATAAAATCTGGTTATAAGGCGGAATTTATACATAAATTTGAGAGGCAATTAGCTACCGATATTCGCTACCGAAAAATTGATACCTGCCAACATTAATTTATCCTTAGCTTGATCTTATGCGCCTTAATTGTTGTATGTTCCTCGCTGCATCTTCTCACCTCAACCGTTTTGTAGCATTTTTTATTCAGTAGGCAAACCATAACAATTATTGGATAACGCCTGCGTAAAACAAAAAGCAGCCGACTGACGAAATTTGTTCACTCCTCACTTATCCATTTCTATTGATATCAAATAAAAAATGATATACAAGAAGGAGGTACGACAGCTTGTAGTACAGTCACGTCGCTGCCGTACCTCGATGCCCATTATAACAGCAAGATCTGCATAATAATAGTCAACCCCCAGAAATCCGTGTTTGTTCTACGTGGCTCCTAGTGCGACGTGATAACCCCTTAGTGGAAGCATTGAAAGTTAGAAATGGAAGACTGCCACCTGAAATAATGCTTAGCGCTTTTGAACGTTTAATTAATCGATTGCATAGTCTGATGCAATAAAAAAGCACTACAGATTGGACCGCGACCTAAGCGGTCGCCAATGTTAGCTTATATTTTTATAGCTTGCGCGAGTCGCCAGTTGCTGAAATACATAATCGATTCAAAGTGCCTAAACCAACAAATTATAAGATACTGGTAGGAGACGCATAACATTTTAGGTCAGTAAATAGGCAGGGACAGGACTGCCAGATCTTGATATCAGAACATCATGTTCGGAACTTTTCAGCGGTAACATTCGTAGTGTGATTGTGTGAAATATATGTTTTTTAGAGTTCACAAAAGACAATTGAGGATCTGACGTTCAGTTAGGATGTTTAATAAAATGCGGACATATTTTTAGCGCTTAAAAGTGTTTGAATTTTTTTAACGGTGGCATTCATAGCATGCGTCGTAATCAAACAGCAATGAAGCCTCGGAGATGAATGGGATAACAATTATTGCGGTGCGAAAAACTGCGCAATAAATGCAAGACGTGTCGCAAATTTAGAATCATAATCTTGAAAGCCGAGGCTGAAGCAGAAGAATCTTGGCAAAGAATAGCCTCAAGACAATAGTGCGAAAACCAAATCTTCGTGGCTAACAGAAGGGGAAAAACGAAAAAAGACCGGGATTAAAGCACTTTTGCATGATATTTGGTCGATGCAGTCGCGGTCGAACGTAAATGCACGGTTTGGGACTTCACTTTTATTTAAGAGGAACCTAAATTTTTATTCGATAATTGAGTAGTTCCAGTACGTAACTTTAAATGTATGTTATAAGGCCTACGAAAACGGCCTGCGAGTTGAAGATCAGGCTTCTAGGTAAGTTAGTTCAAATTTAGCGTGATTTCGTTCCGAGATGACTACATGAACCTAATACTTGGCCTGTTCAGCTAGAATCGACAATAACTCTCTAGAAGAGGTTGATGCTAAGAGCGAACTATCAACGAAACGCGGTCGTTACTTTAGAACAATGAATATTAGTAAGATTTGGTAGTAATAATTAGATCGCAAGAAGTGATTACAGGTAGCAACAGAGGTCCGGTGTCAGCACTTTTAGTGTGATTATGTACTTGCCGCTAGTCTTTATCTTCTTCCATCTCTTATCCAAGTCATTGACTTTGCCTAGCCCGAAATGTCCAAGTCTGGTGTTACAGAATTCGCCCAGCCAACAAGGTGGCGCTTTTTTATTGCCAAGTGTTCTGTCCTATCAATTTTAATTTCCCAGTAAGAGGAAAAGATAGTAATCCATTGGCATGAAATATGGACGACATAATGGGTACAAAATGACAACCCCTTGCAATAACTACTGTAAAGACTTTTCTCGTGTATATCCTAGCATTGTCGTGGGGAAGAATGATTTTGTCTTGTTTGTCGATTGTTTTTTGTCAGATAGGGTCGTTTACTTAAAAAACTGAGGTGAATTGCATGCTTCAGATCTACTTTTATGTTTAGCGAGCTGTATTGAAGCAGATCCTTTTCCTCGCTTTGCACAGCACAGATAACCAATTAGATTTTGGTAGACCCTTGACTTTACGAAAAGTGAAGTATGGTACGTGTCAAAAATAGTTTTTTTTATCGTAGGAATGCTCACCTTTAGAACCTAAATTCGAAATTACTTTTTTTTTTTACTAAGCATCTAGAATACTTCTGACTTATAAGAGCGCTCTCAAGTAATGTATACTGTCATTATGTTCCACAGTTGTATCAAAGAGTAAACAAACCGTGCCGACCTAAAAAGAAAAACAAATATTTCCAAAATCACTAATATATTCTTACCAGTTTAGTGCTAACAGCTAAAGACAAAAGAATACATTTTGTTCCTCTCTCGCACGAGGTATTCATCAGAGTGAAAGTGCTCAAAGGCTGTGGCCTCTTGGGAAAATTATGGAACCTAAATAGAGACTGCGTCACACACATGATTTATAAAATATGGCGTGCGCTGAGTCGACACGCTGAGATACAAGAATTAAACTACAGTAGATTTAATAACATGTGTCCGGATACTTGCTTATTTACAAATTCGATTACGAAAATCGAAGCATCTCTGAGTACTCCGGAGTAATACAATGGCCGGATTCAATTTTTATAAAGTTTTGTTCACCTAACCCGAGTTTCTAGAATGAGCTTTATCCGGGAATGAAACTGGTCTCAGCGGATTTTTATGATCTTTCGTTCCAAAATTCTAAGTTAACCTGCACAAAACCGCAGCCAAAATTTGTGTGCCATGAAACTGTGAATCCTAAAAGTGAATATTCAGCCCCGCCTTCTTCGCGCGTCTACCACAGAAACAAAGCTTTCTGGGGAGTCAAAAAAGGACTTCGTATAAGAAATTTTATTACAAGAAACAATAATAAAATTTGCAAATAAAAAATGGAATCAATATGTATGCCGAATGATAAAAAAAAGTTAGTCTCTTGGTAGAGTTTTATAGTGAAAGTAAAATTTTGCTTTGATGGACTAGATAATATTTTTCACAGGAACGTATACATTACCATCAATGGATTCTCTGTCCATTGGTAGAGAATACATCCTACAGTACCTCACAAGTCTATATGCATATACACGCCGCGCTTAGACAGCATGTCAAATGTATCTGCACTTTAGTATTACGAAATACGTCATTATTCTACTATTTCGTACGTATTATACTAAATCCACGTAATTGGGCTGTGGAGACACCATCTCAAAAAGAACTTGGAGCTCGCTGATCTTAGAGGGCTAGGAGGTCGTCTCTAGCTTGTTCGCGTTTACCCATGCTCCAGACCCGGCAAACCCCTATGTTTCTCATTATCCTCTTTCTCCCTCATAATGAAGGGCGTGTGCTTTTTCTCCCCGTTTGTAACCACCGCTGCGGGCCGGTACAAGACGGGCTAGATGATACTCACTGGTACGGCCGCCGTCGCTGAGCGATCAGCGACCCGGTGGTGTGCGACTTAACGTCAAAGCCCCTAGGCTTATCTTCATCTCGTGCTCGCTAAGCCGCTACATGCATTACGCGCTTGAACAGATGCTCTATGTGCTAGCCTATAACCCTAAAAGCAGAGCGTGAGGTATGCACGGCTCATACCGTACGACGACCTATGCACTGCCTTCTTTGTCCTAACAGTACTTTTACTCTTTTCGTATTACTAGACCATTCTGTTGTAGTGTATTCATAGCTTAAATATAACCTTAGAAGTTTATAAATTTTACCTTAATATCGATTAGACAAAGGAAGTAATTTACCAGTATGAAAATTGTGTTGCATATCAATTTATGTCATAATGCGCGCATAAATAAAGCTAGGTGGCCTTTGCTAAACGAGTAGTGTGAGGGTTTAAAGCGGGTCTAATATAACTCCCGTAAAACGCCTAGTTTTGTATCCAGAAATAACAATGCTCATAATTACTTATACTTCTTATACTTAATATCTAAAAATATGTATACGTAAATACAAATATATGTAAGCTAAATAATGGGGTACGTTTTTCCTCAAACAATAGTCGAACAAGCTCGGCTTATACTAAATTTTAAATAAAGAATATTTTAATAAGGTGTTATTCATAAAATTAACATATCTGTATACGCTTTTATTGTAGTGAAGTCACATATTGCTCTGGTATTTTTGACTTTATGATGTTACCTTTCAATGGAACAGATTTTCGTATATCTTTCGTACTGAAGGTATTCGTTTCGACCTTTGAGGGACACGTGTTTGGCTTAAAGGAACTACCAAATTAATATACTTCCAAACCTTCGTAGCGGGCTATAGAATATGCGCCTTTTGCTGACCAACTTACACATATTGAGAAAATGCCATATTTCATAAACAAGAACCGATTCTGACCATAATGGTTTATTCAAGAAAGCAATTCGAAATAAGCAAACATACATTACAATAGTTATTTATTACATATTACTATCAGGTGGCTCTATAAAAAAATTGTCACCCTGCTCAGTTTATATTACATGCTACTCTTTGTTTTGTTATACGCCATGATTACATGATGTGCAAAATGAATTTAGTAACGTTTAACTACGTTTTAGATAACACGCAAGTACCTGTAACTGTTTCTTACGCTAAATAAATTCATCTATTGTAAATTATTAACTATCTATTTATATATAACTATCTATTTAATATTAATTCTGTTGCAGCGTTATTACATAAAATTCTCTTGAAATCTGTTCAAAAACGATACAGCATCATTTCTTTCATCATTATGTTGGGAAATTATGTACGATGTATTTGTGCGA